TGCAAGCAAGTTCTGGTGTTAACATTTGTACCACTTATGGTTTGATATTTCTTGGAATTTGATTTCATTATGAATTCTCCCTATGCAAATAATTAATTAAGCAAGATTAAGAAGAAGTATTAATATAATTATCTAAATTTGAATTAATGAAGGTGTGCCCTATGTTGATTATTTTTCTATCTTTGTTGATTATTTTTGAGGTTTTATATACATTGTGTGGAGCCTTGGGCTATTTGTTGTGAAATTAATTGATTTTGTTATATCCTTGGAATTGGTTGTGGCCATTTGGGAAAATTGTGATATGAATTAATTTTTGTTACGTTGCCGTGATAATATTCCGTGTAAATTGTTGTGTTAATTGAGTTATCATTTTGAGGATATAAGGGTGGCATCTCACTGTTGATATTATGTGGGCATAAGGGAGGCATTTCACTGTTGTTATGTGTATTAGGATATTGTCTGGGCAGAGCGATAAAGGTGGTTATAGGAGCGATAAGGGTGGCTATTGATATTGTCAGGGCGGAGGGATACGGGAGGCTATTATAGGAGTGATAAGGGTGGCCATAGGAGAGATAAGGGTGGCTATTGTCAGGGATGATATGTGATGATGTGGGGTTGTTGCGTTGGAAATTTTTATGTGATGTTGTGATTTTTATTGTATTTATTTTTATATCTTGTGCAATTGGTCTTGTTGTTGGTAAATTGGTAATAGTTTAATTTATGTTGAAATTGGGGTCTGTGGCCATTGCCAAGTGGATTATGATATGAAATGTGGGCACGAGGTGTCGTGAGTAAATAATGATGATATTTTCAGTGAATTGTCTGTGCTGTTATGATATGAAATGAGGGCACGAGGTGCCAGAGAAATATGATGATTTAATTATAAGCACGAAGTGCCGTGAAAATATGAAAGTGGGCTGAGACCCGTGTTTATGAAAAATATGAAAATATACTGAGACCCGTAGTTGTATGATTATGAAATAAAGTGTCACATGGTGACTTTTTAATTGAAAGAATTATATTCAAAATATTTATTTGGAAGAATATTTACTCAAAAAGATTTATTTGAAAGAATTACATTCGAAAGGTGTTTATTTGAAGAAATTATATTTGAGAGAGATTTATTTAAAGGAGGTATATTTGAAAGATATTTTTTTTGAAGGAATTATATTTGAAAGAGATTTATTCGGAAGAATTATATGTGAAAGATATTTATTTGAATAATTGATTTAATTGGGTGTACTTATATTTATAAATTGTTGAGTGTTATTAATGATGTTCTTGTTGCACATATTGTTATTTGTTTCCTATTATTTTGTAAATCTTATTGCACAAGCTATTAGACTAGTGAGTGACTTGACTGTACATCGTCTCTACTCTACTGAGGTTAGTCTTGATACTTACTGGGTACCGATCGTGGTTTACTCATACTACACTTTTGCATATTTTTGTGCAGAGCCAGGTATTGGAACTATTGGACTCGGACAGAGTTTAATTGTGATCGCAAGGATTCAAGGTAGAGCTGCTTGGTCGTCGCAGTCCCTTAAAGTCTTTTCATTTTATTGTTCTGTTAATTATTAGTCAAACAATATTGAGTATTCGATCCTTGAGATCATTTCATGTATTCAGTTAGAGTTCGTGACTCAGTACTACCAGTCTTGGGAGGTTATTATTTTCATATTTGTTACGTTGTTGGTTTTGATTATCTATTTAATTCAGATTCTATTTAAAAACATGGGTTCGAAATGTAATAGAAATCGGCTTACCTAGTCTTAGAGACTAGGTGCCATCACGACGCCTGTCACGACCCCAAATTCCCTCCGTAGGAGGTCGTGATGGCACCTGGTCGCTAAGACTAGGTAAGCCTATCAATGCGGAATAATAATAGATATCTGAAATAAATAAACTAAAATTCAAACAATTATAATTCCCAAAATCCGGTAGAAATAAGTCACAGGCTTCTAAGAATTTATCCTCAATATAGATCAAGGTCTAACGAAAAATAAGAAAGCAACATATTAATGATAGAAGGGGAGTCCGGAGTCTGCGGACGCTGGCAGATATACCTCGAAGTCTCCGTGCACAGGTAACTCACTGATGTTTGGGCTGGTAAGATGTACCTGGATCTGCACAAAAAGATGTGTAGAAGCATAGTAAGAGTACACCATAGCGGTACCCAGTAAGTGCCAAGCCTAACCTCTATAGAGTAGTGACGAGGTTAGGTCAGGCCCTACTGGAAAATAAATAATGGCATGGTAAAATATTTAACAATATAATAAGATAAAATGACAATGGAAATGAATCAACTAGTATGTCATCATTTAATTACACCAAATAATGGCAATTAATACCTCGTGAAAACAAAACAGAATTCTTTTCAACTTTGAAGAAAATCACAACAAAAATCAAAGGCAACTGCGGCCATACAATATCAACAAGGGTACTCCCGAGGTACCGCCTCGTAATCCCAAATCATAAATAAATTCACAATATCTCATTTTCTTATATCACAGCGGGAGTCTTCACAATTTATTTTAAAGAAAATATTTTTTTCCCGAAATAGCATCCCGCGTTTTAGCCATCCTTATCACACCACATGTCTTCTAGTAGTTTTTCCTACTAGCCACGCGTTTCAAGCCACCCTTATCTCACCGCATGCGTTTCAACACCCAAGCCTTATACCACCGGCGTATCAATATCACAATTTGCACCTCAAGTGCCCAAATATTTCAATTTACCAAAATAAATCAACAACAATATTTTTTCATAATAAAGAGCACACGGCTCCATCACAATTAGTACGAAAATCTCACAAAATATTCACCAAATATAATAATTCACAAATTTACTATCTTGTTTTAAATATCAAATTTTTAATTGCGAAATACTTCATTTTTTATAATATTTGAAATTAAAGAAATTCCACCTTTAATTAATACACTGAATAAAAGAAATCGAGTTTCAGCTTACAGGTAAAAATAATTAGCAGGAGAAGGTCAAGCAAATTTAAAGTATATAAATCAGATCAATGATGGAGAATATCACAAGATTTAATAATTTAATTAATATGCAACAGTGATCTACACAATTTAAAAATATAATCTTTCACATTTAGCCCGTGTACACACTCGTCACCTCGTGTACACGACTTTCATCACATTATAATTATCACATCAATACCAATTCTAGGAGAAATTTTCCCCACACAAGGTTAGACAAGTCACTTACCTCGACTTGCTCCAATTTAATCAAGTAGTATGCCTTTTCCTCGACTTTCCGACTCTGATCGACTCGTATCTAGTCATAATTAATTCGATACAATCAACAAAAATTATAGAATCAATTCCATAAGAAAATACTATATTTTTTTCAATAAAATTCGAAATTAACTCAAAAATTGCTCGTGGTGAAAGTTACGAAATATGAACGTCCATTCAACCATGAGTCTAACCATACCAAAATGACCAAATTCTAATAACAATTCGACCCTCAAATCTATCCAAGAGGATTTTCAAACTTTTCCAACTTAAATCACCAATTAATTGTTAAAAATAGTGATGGATTCGGGTAATCTAACCAAGATTGAGTTAAGAACACTTACCCCGATGTTTTCTCTGAAAATCTCCCAAAACTCACCTCAATCCGAGCACCAAATCGTTAAAAATAGAAAATGGGACGAAGTCCCATTTTAAGAACTTAAACATACTGCCGAGTGATTTCTTCTACGCGATAGAGGACCAACTCACGTGATCGCGAAGCACAAGTTTTTATTGCCAAAAATAACTATATGCGATCGCGGATAATCCCACGCGATCGCGAAGCACAGTCTCCGCAAGCCTACACGATTGCGAGCCTTCTCAAGCGATCGCGAAGCATTAAGCGCGTGGCCCAGCTTCTACCTTGCTTCCTCTTCGCAAACGCGGTCTTAGCCACGCGTTCGCATAGCACTGCTTGTCAAACCTACGTGATCGCATAGCATAAAATTTTAGCTGCCCAACTAACCCTACGCGATCGCATACCTTCTCACGCGATCGCGTAGAAGGAAACCAGAACCTGCATAAACCAGAACTTCAGATATCAAGCCAAGTCCAAAAATGATCCGTTAAGCATCCGAAATTCACTCGAGCCCCTCGGGACCTCAACCAAATACACCAACAAGTCCTAATACATCATTCGAACATAGTCGAGTCCTCAAATCAAATCCAACAACACTAAAAACATGAATAACACATAGATTCAAGCCTAATAAACTTTGGAACTTTCAATTTCTACAAACGAAGCCGGAACCTACAAAATCAAGTCCGATTGACCTCAAATTTTAGACGCAAGTCATAAATGAGCTAACAAAGTTATGAAAATTGTCAGAACTGGATTCCGACTCCGGTATCAAAAAGTCAACTCCCTGGTCAAACTTCCAAACTTAAATTGCTATTTTAGCAATTTCAAACCTAATTTAACTACGGACTTCCAAATAATATTTCAAACACGCTCCTAAGTCCAAAATCACCATACGGAGCTGTTGGAATCATCAAAATTCTATTCTGGTGTCATTTTTTCAAAATGTTGACCGAAGGTAAACTTAGCATTTTAAGGCCAACTTAAGGAACCAAGTGTTCCGATTTCAACCCGAACACTTTCAAATCCCGAACCAACCATCCCCGCAAGTCATAAATTTATAAAAGCACATATGAGGAGTTTTATTTAGGAGAACGGGATTCTAAAAGTCAAAATGATCGGTTGGGTCATTACAACGCCTGTGGTGGGATTTTGGGTCGTGACACCAGTGAGCGGGCTTAATGATTTTTCATTAAAAGGACATTATGTTGTTCAGCCACCAAAAGGCATAAAATTAACTCAGAATATTTCTTAAAGCCCTTTTCACGGTATTGTTGCTGTAACACCATATTTAAAGCATGAAAAGTGGAAAGAGTCTTTTCCAACATGTCCTCATCATTCATAGGTTCCCCACATAATTTTAGTTGGGCAATTATTCTATATACAGCAGAATTATATTCACATATGATCTTATATTCTTGTAGCCGTAAGTGCATCCACTCACGACGAGCTCTTGGCAATACCGTGGCCTTTAGGTAGTCATATCCCTCTTTCAAACCAGTCCATAGTTGAAATGGATCTTTCAAGGTTAAATATTCACTTTTTAACCCTTCATCGAGATGATGGTGAAGGAAAATCATGAATTTCGCCTTATCCTGACTTGATGCTTCATTTCCTTCTTTAATAGTGTCACCAAGACCTTTAGCATCAAGTACCCATGGCAAATAGTTACTCCCAGAGATGTCAAGTGCCACAAATTCAAACTTTGATAAATTCGACATAATAAAAACTATCATAGAAAATAAGTGAATTAGAATGCTAAGAATTATTATCAATGCATATCATTTATTTATTTATTTATTTTTGGTAATCAATGCATACCATTTATAGTTATAGGTCAGTATACTAAATCATAAAATTAAGAGAACATGTGTTGTTACTTCATTATGTATCATAGTAAATTAATGCATAATCTTTAATTATATTATGTATACTAATTGCAATTGTATAATTACTAACCTCAATAATCTTAATTAATAAAGCATCATTTATGTCGATTACTTAGTTTATTAAAATATAAAATATTGTAAGGTAAACTAATACGATAAATATCCTCACCCATGTGCAAGTTTTACAAAATAAAATAAAATTTTTGAAATAGAAAATGAAGAAACATGTATTAATTCAATAGTATATATAGTCATGGTTACACGGAGAGAGAAAACATCATCTCTATTCTAATTGATATGCTAATTCTTTACATTAAATATTTAACAGATGATTCTATACTTTATCTTTACCAAAGACTAAACTAGGATCAGATAGAAATTAGTGGAACATACATTCAAAATTGAAACTGGCACAAAATCAAAGTTAATAGCCTTCTACCGTATAGCTTATATATATTAAAATGTTGCTAAAAATAAAAGTGTAAATACATACCGGATGAAAAAGACTCAACTTCAAAAGATGAGAATGAAATTAGAGCCCTGTGGAGCAGGCAAAGAAACAATGATTTGAGCAATTCGTACTGATAACGTATTAAAAAATGAGAAAAAAATAGAACAATATAGTAATAGAGACAAGATATATAGGAAAAGAATGTAAAAGTTATCTTATATATATATATATATATTAAATAATTTAATTAAGTAAAGACAATAATTTACACAAGTAATTCATGCTTTTGAGTCCTAAACTACCCGAACTTTAGTATTTAATAGTAGCTACGCACGGACTCTCGTCACCTCGTGCGTACATAGCCCCCACAATTAGCAATAATTATTTAATTTAATCACCTATGGGGTAATTTCCCCCTCACAAGATTAGACAAGAGACCTACCTCAATTTGCTCCAATTTAATCCACTAGAAGGCCCTTTCCTCGATTATCCAACTTTGATTGGCTCGAATCTAAACAAAAATAATTCGATACAATCATTAAAATTTATAGGAATCAATTCTATAAGAAAATACTATATTTTCAATAAAAATCCCGAAATTAATTAAACATTCGTCTATGGGGCCCATGTCTCGGAATCCAAAAAAAGTTACGAAATCCGACAACTCATTCAATTACGAGTCCAACCATACCAATTTCACTCAAATCCGACTCTGAATCAATACCAAAATCTCAAAAATTCATTTCTATGATGAGAACAGTGATATATATGTATTTATAGACCAAATGCAAGTTAGAATCACTTACCCCATTGTCTTTTCCTCGAAAATCTATCAAAAATTACCTCTGCTTATGTCACGACCCAATTTTCTCTATGTTGGGTATCGTGATGGCACATAGTCTTAGGGGCTAGGTAAGCCTAACAATAATTAAAACAACAACATTATTTAAATAGAATCTCTTAAAATTCCCAAAACCGGTAGTACAAGTCATAAGCTCTACAGAGTATTTTCTAGAAAACTTCTAAATACAACTATCCAGAAATAAGAATAAACAGTGCAAAACGAAAACTGGAAGGTGACTCTGAAGCCTGCGAAAGTTGCAGCAGGTTTACCTTGAGTCTCCACAGCAACAATCCACACAGCTACCTAACGAACAAGTACCTGGATCTGCACAAAAATGTGCAGAAGAGTAGCATGAACATCACAGCGGTGCTCAGTAAGTATCAAGACTAACCTCGGTGGAGTAGTAACGAGAAACAGTCAAGACACTCACTGGTCTAATAAACCGAACAGATATAAGTACATGAATAACATAAGTATGATGTCTACATAAAGACTATGCAATATGGCTCACAATACAATAATGGCATTAAAGCAAGAAACAACAAGTATCAGCAGAATATCATGGAAATGACACAGACAAAGTGAATGGAACACAACCTAAATCCGGAATCACGAATACAGCAAGGACAAGTAATAACTCAGTAATTACAACCGCTTTTACATCAGGTTTTAGTCAACAATTCCACGAGGTACCGAACCTCGGACAATTCACAACTCATGGGTCTCAATACCTGAACCCTAACACTTGGCATCATGTGCCTTCATAACACCTCATAACCACACTGACGACTCACGTGCCAATAAAGACATTCTCACATAGAAGACAAGTAAACAAGGGTGAGAATCTACGCTCAACAATATCAAGAACACCTCTTATCCGATAAGAGTGCTTAACTACGTGTATGATTGTGCAAGTATCCTAACATAGTCCATACCAGCAAATAAGCATAAGGAAGAAGAAGAACGGACAACACGTAGAATATTTTCTCACAGCTTTCACACGATAAAGCTCACACAGGTACGTATACCACCACACAAATATCAACAATAAGAATGCCCCCAGGCCATAAATCATCACAAATCAATCCCTGACACAGCACACCTTGTCTCGCCACGTGTGCAATAGTAACATAAATGCCCGCCTTGTCTCGCCACACGTGCATAATAATGTTCCCACCTTGTCTCGCCACATGCGCAACCCACACATATATATATCCCACCTTGTCACGCCGCATGTGCAAATATCAATAGTAACAATAGCACGGCAGAAACCTCGTGCAACCCCATAACAACAACCGCACGGCAGAAACCTCGTGCATCACAATAATAACAACCGCACGGCAGAAACCTCGTGCATTACCACAACAAATACAACAACAGCAATGGCAATAATATAAAGTACGACAAGTAAATCAACTCAAGAACTTTTAAATCACAGAAAAAATATGGGACCAAATCACAAGGAACAACCACAGTAAACAATGATAGGCGTAAAGAGAACAACTCAACAAAGGGGAAACTAATGTGTATCAACGATCCCACAATATACATTTCAACAACAGGGAAACTAACACGAGTCAAATAATTCCAAATAAAACAAGTCGACTAAGACATATGATATCTAAAACTTCTTTTAAGGTTGAGAAATTACTAAGGATTTTCAATAATTAAATTAAGGATAAGCAGCGGAAAGATAATCATAACCTTAATTAAAACTGAACAAATTATAATATGATACAATAATAATTTCAAATAAAAATAAGCAGTTATGAAAAGATAGCATGACAATAGAGGAGGTAAAATCTTCATTTAAGTCAAATAAGAGTCAAATAGGCAATAAGAGTGAATCCTGAAAGCAATTAATTTTAATTAAAGTATGTAGAGGCGAAACTAGTAATAGGAACTTAATCATATCAAGAACAACTTCATACTCAGTGAATATAAGGACCTAAGAATCCTAAAAGGCCAACTTTNCCTTTCCTCAATTATCCAACTCCGAATGGCCCAAATCTAGCCAAACATAATTGCATAACATGAATACAACAATAATAGACTTATCTAACCAATATTTAATAAAAATTCCGAAAATCGCCCTAAAAAGTCGACCCGGGCCCACTTCTCGGAATCGGGTTAAAATCACAAAACATGAACACCCATTCACTCACGAGTCCATCCATATAAGAATTACTCAAATCCGACTATAAATTCCTATTCAAAACTTGAAATCTTTATTGAAGAAGTTCTTCCAATTTTTCCCAATTTCAACCCCAAAAATCCGAAACTAAATGGAGAAAACAACTATAGATTAATGCAATACAAAAAAAAAAATGAGTTAGGAATCATTACCCCAAAGCTTCCTCTGAAAATCCCATGAAAAATTGCCAAATTCCGAGCTCTCAAGTCCAAAAACGAAGAATGAAACCAAACCCTCGAATTTCTCTTTTCTGCCCAGGCGTGACCGCGCCTGTGCATAATTAGCCGCATCGGCGCGACCGCAGGTGCGCATGTCCAACTGCACCTGCGCTTCCTCTCGCTTCTGTGCGCCAAAATCCGCTTCTGCGGAGCCGCTGATGCGCACAATTTCTCCCCACCTGCGGAGACTGTCAAGTCCAGCTCTTCTCGCACATGCGCCTCAATCTTCGCATATGCGGGCATCGCAGATGCGGAATTTTCCTCGCACCTGCGACCCCTGGCACTCCTCCATTTTTCCGCTTCTACGCTTGCCTCTCCGTACGTGCGCTCTCGCACCTACGGTCTCTTCACCGCAGGTGCGAAAATACCATAAGCCTGAAGACTTAGCAGTAACACAAATCAAACTTTTAATCCGTTAAGCACCCGAAACTAACCCGAGGCCCTCGGGACCTCAACCAAACATACCAACCAATCCTAAAACACCATACGAACTTAGTCGAGCCCTCAAATCACATAAACTAACGATGAAACTACGCATCACACCATGAATCGAACTTATAAATTTCAAATCTTTCAACTTCTAAAACCCGTGCCGAAACCTATCAAATTAACCCGGAATGACGTCAAATTTTGCAGGCAAGTCCCAAATAACATAACGGAGTTGTTCCAACTCTTGGAATCGTATTCCGACCCTGATATCAAAAAGTCCACTTCCGGTCGAAATCTCCAAAAATTCGACTTTCGCCATTTCAAGCCAAAATCAACTACAGACCTCGGATTTACAGTCCGGACACGCTCCTAAGTCCAAAATCACCCAATAGATCTAATGGAACTGATGGGACTCCATTCGGGAGTCGTCTTCACATAGTTCCGACTACGGTCAAAATCCTAAGATTTAAGCTTCCGTTTTAGGGACTAAGTGTCCCAAATCATTCTGAGACATCCGGTAACCGAATTCAACCATGCACGCAAGTCAATACACATAATATGAAGCTACTCAGGGCCTTATGCCACTAGACGGGACTTAAATTCTCAAAACGACCGGCTGGGTCGTTAAAGCTTAAGCTCAAATTTGTTAAAAACGGCGAATGGGACGAATGCCCTCTTTTATAATTCTGCCTAGGC